ATTATTATAAAGAATGCCTAATGTATTCACTATCTGGACCTTCACAGAAAAAAAAATTTATCAATCCCAACCAATCTCACTTATGTGTTTAAAAATCTCATTTTAATGATACCTAATCAATTGAACCAGGAACTACATTAAAAGAAATGTAAGTACCTAATTAAACTTTGTCCCAGAATGCAATAATTTATTGTTATATAAGATAGGCTAAGGATATAGATCAGTTGGTAAGAGTGCTTGTCTTGTATTCAAGACAAAAATATGATCTTGTTAGATTCCAAAAACATATTTGATAAACATATTTAATACCCATTCCTAATTTTTAAAATTTATCTCAGCAAACTATAAGCAGAAGACACTTAAGTCAATGTTTAATAGGTGAGAAGAAATCCTTGTTAAATACTACAAAGCCAGAAAATTTCATAGAGGAACTAATTAACAAACGTGATGGAAGGATTTGAGTGAAACAGAGATGAGTTATTATTGATTCTATTACTGCTGCCAGACCAGGAGGCCTAGGACAGGTAAACTTGGTGTCCATTCTTGGACATGTAGGCATCCATAGCCACCAGATATTGAAAGGGACAGTGGAGGACTAAAGGAGAAGGGTTGGGATAGATGATTAAGGATAGATGTAGACACAAAGGACTGGGGGAGGGGCAGAAAACTAAAGAGAGAATGTAGAACTAGAAAACTGAGGAGAGGGTCTTAGAAGAAGGAAATGTAGGAGGAAACAGTGACTTAGACTGAGATGAAGCTATTGCTGCTACCAGGGCAGTAATACCAGTGTGTATTAGTTTGTGACCTTCTGATAAACTCAAAACATGTACAAGGAAAGGGTAGAATTAAAAGGCCAAGTAAAGGGGATGGGGCTGAAGACTGATGGGGAAGAGGAAAGAAATCCAGAATAAGACCAGAGAACTGGAGAGAGATGAAACTAGAGGCTAAAGGAGTATATCAGCAGGTAGGGGTATGGGACAAAGTAACACAGAGAAAGAGCTACTAAACTTGCCAGGATAATAAGCCCAGCTAAAGGAGGGAGTATAACAGTTTTGAACAGTGTGGGGTACTCTGATCACCCTCAGGAAACCTGAACAGGAAGAGGTTGCAGGTGAAGGGCCAGGAAGAGAAGATAAAAAAGGTGGGGATGAGAGACAGTCTGACTTTAAGCAGTCCAGTTAAAGGAAGTATATATGTGTGTGTGTGTGTGTGTGTGTGTGTGTGTGTGTGTGAAGACAAGGACAGACACACACACACACACACAATTAGCAGGGTGGGGGGAATGGGGCCTTGTAAGCAAGCACTCTCAGGAACCTCTTAGAAAACTAGGGAAGAGTGTTCTTGGATAGGCAGAATTAATATTGTGCAGGGATCGTGGCTCAGAGGTAGAGCACTCTCCTAGGACATGTGAAGCCCTGGGTTCGATCCTCAGCACCACATAAAAACAAAAATAAATTAATTAATAAAGGTATTTTTAAAAGCATATATTTAAAAAATGGCCATACTACCAAAAGCATAATACAGATTTAATCCACTTCCTATTAAAATTCCAATGATGTTCTTCAAAGAAATAGAAAAAGCAGTCATAAAATAAATTCATTTGGAAAAATACGAGGTCCAGAACTGCCAAAGCAATACTTAGGACCATACTTAGGGAGAAAAGTGAAACAGACTGGGATGCAGAAGTATACATGGGCCCAGTGCAGTAACACACACCCGTAATCCCAGCAGCTCGGGAGGCTGAGGCAGGAGGATTACAAGTTCAAAGGCAGCCTCGGCAATGGTGAGGCGCTAAGCAACTCAGTGAAGCCCTGTCTCTAAATAAAATACAAAACAGGGATGGGATGTGGCTCAGTGGTTGAGTGCCCCCAGAGTTCAACCCCATGACCAAAACAAACAAACAAACAAAAAAAGTGAAGCAGAAGGTATCACAATACCAGACCTTAAATTATACTACAGAGCCATAGTAACAAAAGTAGTATGGTATTAGCACAAAAACAGACATGAAGACAAATGGAACAGAAAACACAGAGACAAGCCCACATAAATACAGTTATCTCATACTAGAGAAAGGCACCATAAACATACATTGAAGAAAAGATAGCCTCTTCAACAAAAGCTGTAGGGAAAACTATAAATCCATATGTAGAAGAATGAAATCAAACCCATCTTTCACCCTGCACAAAATTCAATTCTGTGTGGATCAAAGACTTAGGCATTAGATTAGAGACCCTGCTAGGGGTTGGGGGTTGTGGCTCAGCGGTAGAGTGTTTGCCTAGCATGCGTGAGACACTGGTTTTGATTCTCAGCACTACATACAAATAAATAAAATAAAGGTCCATCAACAACTAAAAATATTTTTTTGAAAAAAAGAATAGAGACCCTGCACTTACTAGAACAAAAAGTAGACCCAACTCTCCATCATGTTGGCTTAGGAACCAACTTCCTCATCAAGACCCCTAAAGTGCAAGAAGTAAAATCAAGAATCATTACATGGGATGGTATAAAACTAAAAAGCTTCTTCACAGCAAAGGAAACAATCAAGAACATGAGAGAGAGCCTACAGAATGGGAGAAAATCTTTGCCACCTGTACCTCAGATAGAGCATTAATCTCCAGGATATGCAAAGAACTCAAAAAACTTAATACACACACACACACACAAAA